GAATTAAGAGTTTGTTTCAAGTTAAAAAACCTGAGTTCCAAGGAAAAATAATCACAAACGTTTTAAGAAAGAATGATATTTACAATATAAAAACTGAAGTGTGCGGTTTGGTAGTTTCTCGGGTGGGGGGGGGGCATGAATAATATGTATATCCATCATGGAAATAGAAGAACTTTGATATCGGCCTGACCTTGGAAGTATTTTCCAGTTGGGTAAATTTAGGCGTGTCCTAGTTGGTGGTTGTCAGTCTATCTGGCCAGCTTGTAACACCCATTGGCACGAACCGGACTGTTTGAATGTGTTGGCACTTTTGGCGTGGACCTGTGATGGAGATGGTGTAAATGCGTGCTTGTGAAGACGGTCGGTATCCTTTCCTCTCGCTATCGCCGACACCCCTTCCCTCCCTCAACGCATTCCGATCTCGCCTGTCTCCCACTCAACGTCGGCCCCCACCACGGCCCCTCTTTGCAGTTGCCCACAGCGCTGCATCCCAACCGGCTGTTTACCTAATATGTCAGGGTCACCTATCCTCCAGACAGGTCATGCATTCGCTGTTCCTCATTCCACGTGTACATTAACGTTTGTTATACACATTCTCCACATCCATGTCGTACTATTACACTATATTCCACATTTGACGTATTTCCTTCTTCTGCGTGTGAATGAGTTTCGAGAGATGTTAACAGTTCTGTTCAGGTCTACCTCCGCCAGGATCTCTTCTTAGCGTTTCCTTACTTGGGCGTGTGCTACCCTTGACGTCCTCGGCCGCTACAAGCTGTAAAGGGGCGGTCGCAAATTTCCTTCGTGTTTTTCAGGAGACTTGCCATAATTGTCTGGATTAAGAGCTGGAAAAGATGAATATATATCAGGAGTAAGAAACATTCAATGGTAGGTCGACTGTCTTCTACGATCTAATATAGTTGTGTATATGTTTAATATGACTTTATTATAGACTTACCTACAACTACTATGCAGGATTTTATCGAAATGGATGTTTTTATTAGTTCCTTAAGGTATATTTAGTGTCAGGTTACATAGCAGATAGAAACGATAAAGGGAGGAAAGAAAGAAGATCACCATCTGTTCTATGTTTATCAATGATGCTATCCTTCATAAATTTGATTGTTTTTATTGCTTTGTTTCGGTATTATACGAGCGGTTGGCATCATCGGAGCACTTTCGGACCAAATTCTATATCAAACAATTGACTTGAAAAATGTGCTATTTTATTCAAAAATAAATGTGTGTTGTTATTTGAAAGGAATTTTTCTGTTTTATGTTAAAATCCATTAGGTTTCGACTTTTCCGGATAGAACTTGGAAGAGCATTCCAGATAGTGGCATATCTTATGGTGTAGAAATTAGACCGTTGGGACTTCGCGAATTTGGGTATCCTTATAATATCTTCGTTATTTCCTGTGTTTCTGGGGGCGTTTTGGTTTGTCAGTAAATTCATCTTGAGAATATCTCGGTCATGGGTGACCTTGAATAGGACGTTTAGATCATTTTGGAGTCTTCTGATCCAGAGGGGTCGAAGACCGTAATTATGATATAGTTCTACGTATGAACCCTGGGTGCCATCACTTCTGGACAAAGATTTAGTAAAACATCTCTGAATGCCTTCTAGTTTCTTTCGGTCGACTGAGGGAATTATACCGAAGAAAATTGAGCAATAATCTAGGAGAGGTTGTAAGAGACAAACCAACTAGTTGGGCACAGCCAGTAGGCTATCCAGGAAACGAAAATAGCAGTATCCCAACAGTTACAAACTAGTAAATAAGAACAAAGTCGTCGGCAGGTAAAAGTGCACGTGCGTGTTCTTTGTCTTATTCAAAGTTGTGTCAACGCGTATTGTAACTGATTAAAACAAAACAGACTTAAATGTCACTACAATACTCCCCCTCCTAGGAGAACGGAGTTCAAAAAAAATTATTGTTAATAGAAGAAAAATGTGGGAGTGTTATGGATATTGTACAAGTTGGTAACGGTCGGGAAAACGGACATGACGACCACTGCGCGTAAGGGGATGAGTCTGTGGGATAAGGGAAGACGCAGGGTTATTGGGCGTAAATGGAGTCTGGGAAATAGTAAGTGGCAATGTGCCAAGTGGAGGTTGTTCGGTTGGAGAAGTTGGAAGAGGCTCGGTTTAAGCCGCCTTCAAGCGATCGAGTGAAACCACGTCGGTGCGGCCTCCATGGTTAATTGTAAAGTGCTTGTCCTTGCGCGATAGTACTCGAAATGGGCCGTCATAGGGCTGTTGCAGTGGCCGGCGAACGCTATCTATGCGGACAAATACAAAAGAACATGTTAGTAAGTTCGGGTCGACGTACGACTTACTTGTTGAAGGACGTGGAGGAGTGGCTCGAAGATGAGTCATGGCTTGGCGCAATCTTTGCACATAATCGCTGGGATCCAAGTCGGCTGAGCTTTGAGAGTACCCGAAAAAATCACCTGGAATCCGTAGGGTAGTACCGTAGACAAGTTCGGCAGCGGTACACTCCAAGTCGGGCTTGAATGCGGTACGGATACCGAGCATGACCAAAGGCAGATGCTCGCTCCAATGGGAAAGGTTGTCATGAGCTCGGAGCGAGGCTTTGAGTTGCCGGTGGAAACGCTCGACTAAATTGTTGGATGAGGGGTGGTATGCTGTCGTGCGTATGCGAGAACATCCGAGAAGATTGGTAAGGCTGTTAAACAGTCTAGACTCGAATTGTTGACCTCGATCGGTGGTAATGGTTGAGGGGACGCCATAATGAGAGATCCAGTGTTCCAAAAAAGCATGAGCAACGGAATCTCCAGTTATGTTAGGTATGGGAGTTGCAATGGGCCAACGAGTAAATCGGTCAATCGCAGTAAGTAAGTAGTTGCAACCACGAGATGTTGGAAGGGGACCTACCAGATCGATATGGACATGTGAAAACCGTGCGTCGGGTGCGAGAAAAGTGTCAATGGGGGCTTTGTTGTGCCGTCCGACTTTGGCCTTCTGACAGGCCAAACATGAACGGGTCCACTGGCGTATATCAGTGTTCATGCTTGGCCAAACGAACCGCTCGCTGACAAAGCGCTGGGTAGTGCGGATGCCAGGGTGAGCTGGATTGTGCAACGCGGCAAAAACATCTCGTCTCATCTCGCTTGGCACTACGGGTCGGGAGGCACCGCGCGATACGTCACACAAGATTGTACCGGGGGTGGTGGAAAGAGGAATGGCTTCGAGTTGAAGACTAGTGTGTTGAAGGCTCTCACTGAAAGTCGGCTGATTTTGCAGTTCTGCCATGCGCTCCAAATCGATGGAAGGACGGGTGTTGGCATTAATGCCAGGCCGAGAAAGACAGTCAGCAACTTGATTATAAAGGCCTTTAAGAAATCGAATGTCGGTGGTATACTGAGAAATAAAATCGAGATGGCGGGCCTCGCGGGGTGAATACTTGTCAGAAGAAGTAGAGAGGGCATAAGTAAGAGGCTTGTGGTCAGTATAAATACAAAAATCTCGGCCCTCAATATAATTACGAAAATGCTTAATGGCTAAATAAATTGCAAGAAGTTCTCTACCAAAAGTGCTATAGCGGGTTTGTGGGGGTGTCAATTTGGCAGAGTAGAAAGCCAAGGGCTGGGTGCCAGTGGGCGTCTGTTGCTGAAGGGCAGCACCTATAGCGAAATTGGAGGCGTCGGCCACAATGGAGAGTGGGGCATCAGGTATAGGGTGGACAAGGACAGTTGTATCCGCAAGAGCCTTCGTCGCACGATTGAAAGCCTCTACAGTTGTGTCAGGAAAAGAAAACTCACGGTTGTTCCCGCGTAAAAGGTTAGTAAGTGGTAGCATTAATTGAGCACAATGAGGGATGAAACTTAGATAGAAATTGACAAGGCCTATAAAACGGCGCAGTTGTTGAAAAGAAGTGGGAGTAGGGAAATCGCGAATACCTGAAACTTTGCCATCTATGGGGTGACAACCAGAAGCATACACGCGATGTCCTAGGAAAAACAGCGACTGTGCGCCAAAAACGCATTTAGAAACATTAATGAAAACGCCAAATTGACTCAATCGCTCAAAAATGAGACGCAAATGTTGTAGGTGCTCGTGTTCACTGGAACTTGCTACCAGAACATCGTCGACGTAGACAAAAACGAACGGTAGATTGCGGAGGGCTTCGTTGATGAAACGTTGAAAAATTTGGGCGGAGTCGCGTAGCCCAAAAGGCATCCTGACAAACTCGAACAGACCGAACGGTGTTGTAATCGCCGTTTTGGGAACGTCTTCTGGAGCAACGGGTATCTGATGGAAAGCTTTGACTAAGTCAATGTTAGAAAATATTGTTGCTCCAGCTAGGCTAGATGAAAAGTCGTGGAGATGGGGAAGTGGATACCTGTTAGGCACAGTGGAGGTGTTTAACCGTCGGTAATCCCCGCATGGGCGCCAGTCAACGAGAGACTTTTTGCCCACCATATGTAGAGGTTCAGCCCATGGACTAGTGGAAGGCCTAACTATGCCTAGCTCCATCATGTGGCTGAATTCAGCCTTGGCTATGGCTAACTTGTCGGCGGCTAAACGACGGGGACGGCTAAACACGGGTGGTCCAGTAGTTGAAATATAATGTACAACAGAATGCTTGATAGGTTGGTTAAATTGTGAAGGTCGTGTGATAGATGGAAATTCCGAAAGTAAACGATGATAGGGAGTAGACGAAGGGATTGTTGAAATGCGTGGATTAGGTGATGAAAGTGTACGAGTGGAACAATTACAATGTAGAGAAGTCTTAGGATCAAATAATTTTTGGGACTTAATGTCAACGAGGAGAACGAAAAAGGATATCAAATCAGCGCCGAGAATGGCAGTATGGACATCAGCGGTAGTAAATAGCCAACGAAATGAACGTCTAAGACCCAAATCTAGTGTTAGGGATCGTTGACCAAAAGTTTTAATAGAAGTATTGTTAGCTGCTTGGAGGAAAAATGAAGAATTTGGTGACTTACGGTCAGTCAAGGTGGGTGGGATTAGACTGATCTCCGCACCAGTATCCACGAGAAAATTACGACAGGAAGTCCTGTCATAGATGTGGAGTAAGCGACTGGGAGAGGATGTGCCGACCACGTTCGTCGCCCTTACTGGTCGGCAGGGGAGTTTTCCGACGCGGGTGTTTTATACTTGCACGGAGAGTGGCAGCGATGGGCGTTAGAACCATAATTGTGATGATACCAACAGAAACCATCAACTGTATGTTTGTTTGGAGTGGGAGATCTCGGGCGGCGAGAAATTGCAGGACTACGAGGGTTATAGACGCGAGTGGCCCGGAGCTGGGAAACTTCGAGAGTGAGGGCATCCAGGCGTTTGACGACATCCTCGATTGTGGGGGCAGTTGTGCTTCGACTAGCGACGTTAACCGTAACAGGAGGCTGGTAGTACTCGAGTATACGGTCAGCAGTCTCTGCGAGCATCTGAACAGTCGAAGAAGGAATGTTAGGCGCAAGGATGGCTTGCACAGAAGGAGGCAACCGTTGGAGGAAAAGTTGCTTGAACATGGTGGCATCCAGCTTTTGTCCGTCTGCCAACTGCTCCAAACGCCTAAGAAGCTGCGTAGGCTTCCTGTCACCGAGGTCCTCCTCAGAAATTAAGCGTTGGAGACGTTTTTGCGTTGATAGGGAAATGCGGGAAATGAGAGCCTCCTTTAAGGCTGTATAAGGGGCTTCTGTGGGCGGGCAATCTATGATGTCGCGGAGGTCATTGGCGATGTCCATTGGGAGTGCTGCCACAACATAGTGAAATTTCGTATGCTCTCGTGTGATCTGACGGAGGGCGAATCGTGACTCTACAGTGCGCAGCCATAACGCGATGTCACCGAGCCACACGGATGGCAGGTCAAAAGTGTGAATGCCGGCTATCGGCTGGCTGCTAGAATCGCTGGACATAGTTAGCCGGGGTCGGTCAGAGGTCAGATAAATGGGGTAGAGGACTGGCGCGTTGACGGTGAGACTGAAGGGTAGCGCTCGTATTGGATGAAAGGGTGAGACAGTGTGGATAGCAAATAAGGGCTAGATGAATAATCTGATCGATAAAAATTAGAGGGAGGATTAATCCGAATGGAAATAGTTATGCACAGAGATTAAACAGAAGGAGCTATGAACGATACAGGGTCACCAGTGTAAGAGACAAACCCACTAGTTGGGCACAGCCAGTAGGCTATCCAGGAAACGAAAATAGCAGTATCCCAACAGTTACAAACTAGTAAATAAGAACAAAGTCGTCGGCAGGTAAAAGTGCACGTGCGTGTTCTTTGTCTTATTCAAAGTTGTGTCAACGCGAATTGTAACTGATTAAAACAAAACAGACTTAAATGTCACTACAAGGTAAAACGTACATTTTGAAAAGTAGTATTCTTGGGGCATTTAAAATGACATTTTTACATATGAATCCACACAGGCGAGTGGCTTTCGGTTATATTTGTTGGACGTGAGGCGATAAATCAGGAGGATTTGTATAACTGAGACCTAAATATTGTACCGATTGGGCTTCCGTTATTTCATTATCCCCGAATACTATGGGGGAAGTTTTTGTGGGCCAAAGATCAGGAGATGACATTTTTTGGGCAAAAAGGACATCTGCCATTGACTACTCCATTTTCTGTGTTTTCTCAGATCAGTATCATTTGTTTTGTGAATATTGACAACTGTATTCCCTTTTTATACCTATGTAAGTTTAAGGTCGTCCGCATATAAAAACGTCTTAGCTGATACTGATATGGATGATAAGTCGTGAAGATATATGAGAAATAGAAGGGGCCTAGGATAATGCCTTGAAGTACTCTACTGGTACTACGGGATGGTTCTGAGACTACGTTTCGAATTCGTACCGCTTGATACCGGTTTTGAGGATAGGATTTAAGGAAAGCAGTGATATCTCCAAATAAGGATTCTTAGGCGTCCCAGATGGCTGCCGAACTCTTTCATGGGTCAGGGCTTTGTACAGCGGGGAGCGACCCGAGGTAACCTGGGACGCCCACGAGATCCGCATTTCTCACACTTTGTAGGACTTTGAAATAAAAGAGGAGAGAGAGAGAGGAGAGGGAGGGGAAGGAGGAAGGGAGGGAACATGGGAGGAGAATCGTAGGGTGGGTGGGGGACAAGTAGCACCGGACACGCCTATCTGGTGTAGCTCACCGGTCCAGATGGTTATCGAGTGAGGCTGTGGAGCATAGTCTAGCTTCGAGAAAACGCAGATGAGAGTTGAGTGCCAGTTAAAGACCGTAAGGAGCAGTTGCCATATGCGTGTTGAGACCTACGACTTGTGTGAGGGCGTCCATAAATGGACACCCTTTCATCCCACTTCTAGTTTAAGCACTGGTTAAGTTGCTTGTGTTGCTTTTTATGAATTAGGCACATATCAACAGTGAATCCATAAATTTTCTAAATTATACCATACAAAAGTATATTTCCGTTATAAGATGGACACTATTTAAAATTCATAATCAAACTTGATGCAAAAAGTACAAAACGACTAGTGATCGAGAAATGACACACTGCACGGCCAAACAAAATTATATTTCAAACCACCTAAAAATGCAGGAAGTCTCCACTTGTAGAACGTTTCAATGAGTCCAGCTGAGCTCGTTGTAGCAACTAAAGTTGTGGTTGTATCTAAATAGCTTTGACTTTCAGGTCAGGTGTTTTAAAGGAAAATTCGGGCAAAGATTGTACGTGCGTGCGCTGGATTGGCAGTTAGTCTGTCTGCGAGTTCAAAATCTCAAGTAAATAGTGGGAAATAATATGGTCAGCTGTGGCTGAATGGTTCCGAGGGAACA